TAATAAACACAGAACCAATGCAAAGAAGAAAGCCAAGAGGTCAGAGCTAAGAGCTAAAACCTTACCCTTCCTCCTGCGGTGGTCCTACCTCTCCGAACCAGAGCTACCCCTGTGTTAAAGTCTTTATATAGAGTTCCTGTCCTGCCTTCTCATTGGTTGTAAACCCAACCACATGACCGCCTCCTCACAGCCTGTCTGTATAGGCCTCCAGGTTTTCCATGATTGGTATTAAGATTAAAAGCATGTGTATCCAATAATGGCTGTATCCCTGAACACACAGAGACTTACCCAGCTCTGCCTACCAAGTGCTGGAATTACAAGCGTACGCTACCACTGCCCTGCTTTCCTATGGCTTGCTAATAGCTCTGACCCCCGGGCAACTTTATTTATTAACATACAAATAATATTTTAATATAAATAAAATATCACCATAGCCGCTCGCCCCTTGGCAGCCATGGAAGCAAAGAGGTAACTCGAAAAGAACTAAAGTCAAGATACACCCTCCAGGGAGTGTCCCCTGTGACCTACTTCCTCCACCAAGGCCTTAGCACACACAGTCCAGTAATGCTAATCAATTTTGCATCGATCAACATATTAGTCCACTGATGGGAAGCATTTTGTACCTAACTGTAACAAATGCTACCAACAACAGTTCACACTAGTATTTCTGATGAGACTGGAAAGGGCTGTCTGTGTGCAGAGTACTTAGGTCCATAAACCCACTGCCTCAGCTTCCCTATATTCCAAAGAAATCAGCAAACAGAAATTGGTAAAGGAAAATGAGTTTATTTAATGTTGGCCAAGCAGAAAGGAGAAAGACATCTGAATTCCTCTCTGCCATGCCTGTGGCCATCTCACAGTATATAGAAAGCCAAGAAACAAAGACCAGAAAGTATGTAAATGGAGCTGTGAGACAAGTTAGCCCAGGTTACCTCCATCGTCTCTGTTGTAGTTTACAGCTTTTGATTCAAGTCCACAGACAGAAAAAAGCATCTTAAAGGTCCCCTGGTTTTTGTTGTTTGGTTTTGTTCATTTTGTTTTGTTTTTGAGAAAAGAATAGGAAGGAGGGTGTAAGAGCCCTACCCTGGCCTAGTAGAGTTCCTTGTCCTTAGGTCTGTTTGATAGATACAGAGTGAGAGCTCTTTGTATGGATGTTAGCTTCAAACTTGACTCCTACATGCCTGTTAGACATTCTAATTTTCCAAGTACAAAGGGTGATGGTTTGAGAGATAAAGGAGAGTGAGCAAGTATCTATGTCCCTTTTAGGATATATCCCCTCCCACTAGGGCTTTGCCTAAATGCTTCATACAGTATGTCAAAAGAACCATTAAAGTCATATCAGACATAGTTGGAAAGTCTATCCTAATCCCAGACAAACTTCATTTAACATTTTTTAAATGAAACTCAAGCAGCAGCTTTTAAAATCCAACATTTTAATACAACAATCCAAAGATACATTAATTTGTCACATGCTAATGAATGACACCAAGAAAATGCTGTGTTGGTTTCTTTTCATTCCATAATGAAATTGTTTTGGTTCCATAGGTGTATCTATAGTAAACACACTGACATTCATAACAAATCATTTCGGATCCTGGTTGTGTCCAGGCAGCCCTTGCTGGCACTCTGTGGCATAATGGCAAACACAGTGCAAAGTGTGTATGTGGTGGGTTTAGCACCAAGGCTGCTTGGTGGAGGAACATGATACAGCTCCTCCCTTTAGTTAGAGGGCCATGATCCACGTTTAAAGCACTGAGTCTACTACATCAGCGGCAGAGTGCGCCAAGCCGTACAAACCTAGTTTTTACCAGAATGATCCTACATCTACATGTTTGCACTTGAGGCTACAAACAAAATTGTACTGAAAATTAGTTTTACTGTTAACTCAGTTTTAGAAAGCTTGGTGTACCCCTCCAGCTGCTTCTGTAACCTTGGTAACTCTGGGCCTCCATTTCCTCATCTGTAGAAATAAGAGTGTGGTGCTGTGAGAGCTGTGCTTGGATTCTGAGCCCCTCTTCCTTTTCTAGTGAAGAGAAATCCCAAGAGAGGTTAAGTGGCTTACTAGGGCCACACAAAGCTACTAACAGAACCAAGACTAGAATTTAACCACCAAACCCTCATTGGCAAACTTCCTCTCTTGAATCCATGTTCTAAAAGAGAGAAGAAAAAAAAAAAAAAAAACAATTCCCACAAAGTAGAGATGAAACATTTGGAAAGGTAAATGTATCAGTGGGTGCATAACGGCATGTAAAATAAAGCTGTACTGTATCATAAATCTGCCTTTTTCTGATGCTGGTGTGCCAGCAACAATGTACGTTGATTGAACATTCATATGATTTTCCGTTCATTCTTCAAGTATAGAGGTATCCATTCCGGTGAGTTGTTTGCATGGCCCGTTTCTCTTTTCTAAAGCTGTTTGTACGTTGTTTACTTCTTGGTAAATCGCCACATAATCGGTGGCATCATTTTAAATCACTCCATGTATCATTCCTTTCATATTTAAGCCTCATTGCATTCTAAGTTGAGAATCATCCCAGAGAAGCTGAGGGTTTGGGAAGCAGGAGTCTCTAGATTCTGGTCCTGCCATTCCTCATCTTCACTTTGCTCATCTTCCTCTCTTCATCCCTCCTCTCCAAATCAAGGGTGCCCATGAAGAGGAAACGAAGTCACAAAAGAACTGAGGTGTGTGTGGAAAGGAGGGAGAGAAGGGCAGCCATGTTCCTTGGCCTTGTGGTGGTGGGGGGCATTTATGGGCTGATTGCACTCCAGCCTTGGGGGCTTTCTGTTGAAAGATAAAATGAACCCGCTCACAGAGACTCCTTCTCCCCCTCCTACTGCCTCCATGACTCACTACCCATATGGCGTGCTGCTGCTGAGACCAAGGAATGAGTGAGTAAAGGTGTTTAGAGGGAAATAGTAGTCCTAAGTAAGTAAGTGTCCTTTAAAAATAAGTGTAAAAGCATTGAAGTCTGGGTTCCCTACTGATTTAAGATTTATAGGATTTGAACATAGCCCAAGCTACTCTGTGTCACAGAAAAAAAGAATCAAGTGTACCAGTGGTAAGAATACAACAGGAAACACAGTATGGACAGTATTTAATCTGTTGTTTATCTTTTATGAAGTTTGTTTTTTGCTTTCATACATACACGCGCACACCCACACCCACACACACACACACACACACACACACACACACACACACACACAGTGCATGCTGATTACTATCTCCCTCACCCTTCAGTGTATTTCTGGCCACCTTTCTGATGGTATCCCAGCATCCCCTTCACATGAGCAGACTCTGTTATAAGTGAGACTAAGACCCATATAGGGTAGCACTGACTTAACAGGGAGATTTGACTTGATTCCTCTCCTCAGTTCCAACTGGGTGCAGGTTGGTGAGCATTTGTGATGAGAGCTGTATGTTTGGTTCTCTCATTAAATCCAGTCATTGACGAAGTTTTATAAGCACGCAAATGGTTTTTGGTAAAGCGCTGGCTTCCCTTGGGCAAAGAGGTAGAAATAATGCTTAGACTTTGTAAAGAATGGTAAAATTTTAAACCTCCCATTTAATTTGATTAATGTGTTTGGAACTTACATGCTCATAAAGAGGCAGAGGAAGTTCTGTGAGGATTAATATGTTCTCTGAGTTTGGTGTTGATGCTTTTTGTTGTTGCTTGTGGTGTGTGCTGTTGGATGAGGGCAGGTAGGGTTTTCAGGAATCTGGACTAGACTTTGAAATTGACCGTGGATATATATTTTTTTCTCAGTACATTTTAACTGAGTCTCATCAATTTTAGCAGTCAAGAAAAATCAATATGCCATTAGTTCTTGTGTTGTTGGGGTCACTTGCTACTGCACCCACCTTTCACCCCGTCTCGTCATTCTTTAAGTGTCGTCTTAGTCTTAAATGTTTGATTTAAAGCCACCTGATAGTAAACACATAACCATGGTCAAGAAAAGCAGTTGTCTTAAAATCTTTACAATATTCTAATATGAACAGTAATGCTTGTTGAAAGATACTTGGTGCCGAAGCTGGCCAAGGCACAATCCTGAGAAATCTGACTATGAAGGGAAAGGGGGAAGTGGAGAGGTGAAGTGAGCTGCAGCAGAGGGAAGGTGGGAAGGCAGAATTTCTCAAACAGGGTGGAAAGAAAAGCTGTCCTCCTTTTCTTTCATTCTGGTTTTTGATTTTGTTTTCAGAATGGCTTTAATTTAAATAATTGTGTAGATATCTTTCATCTGCACATGATTCAGCAGTTTATTGTCTTATTTTGAATGTCAGATGGATCTTCTTTGTAACATCTAATTCTCTCTAAAAACCACTTTCCGTCTGTTTTATGGCAGCACTGGGTTGATTATAAAGTACTGTGACGTTAAACACCGTTTCCTCAGTGAACTTGGGTTGGAGCTAAAGCTTCAATTCCAGAGGAAGTATCTAACACTTGGAATTTAAGTTGGTACCTCTAAAGTGCGTATTCAGTCTTTCCTCAAGGGTGCCGTTAATAAAGTAAGATTTGCTGAAAACTGTAAAAGATTGAGAGTGTTCAAATTCAGAATCTCTGCATTCAGTGTGGTTGAGCCTCAATATAAAACATCTGGATACGCTGACAAGAACAGACAGATGCAATGATGAAAGATGTATGAAGCTTAAGTAACATACCACAGTATTGTGTTAACTTAAGCTAATAAACAACCTCCCCCTCTTGTTCTTCTGTGTGGGTTTTGTTGTTGTTGATTTTGTTTGTTTTGTTTGGTTTTTTTCGGGGCCAACATCTGAAAACTAACCTTGCTTATAAAGAAGGTTGAAACTGAGTGGTAGACTAGCTCTTGGTTTTCCGTAGGCATGAGGATGTTTCTGGGCTAGACATCCACGTTCAAGCCGGGCATAGACGTGCTATTCTGTCTTCATGCAGAAAGCTGATGGGGACTCAGGGTGTGGATGCTGACCGGGCTGTTCTCTCCTGTTGACTTACTATTTGTTTTTCTCTCCTTCTTCACAGCAGTCCCTCAATAAGGACAGGTCCCCGGACTCCAGACTGGGCTCTCAGTCCATGGCACAGTAAGTACTTCTCCTTCCAGAGAGTTGGCAGTGAGAAAAAGCAGTGGGTGTTGGTGGTGTTGGTGTTGTTGTTGTTGTTGTTAAGGATCATCTATCCATCTCCCCTTTTCATAACACAATGATCACACTACAAGTTAAATTTCAAATAGTTGATTTTTAAAAGACTTTTAAAATGTCTTGGAAGCCAGAGAAATAATGATATATAAAATAGCAACACACCAAACAGCAGAGGACTTATTTTTATTTTTCATTTACTTTGAGTGATGTTTTGAAATAACATTAACTGAATACATGTGAATGGTTAGGTAAACTAAATTATGAAATAACTCCTCTGAGGCCAGTTCCCAGGATGTCATCAGTGTGAATGTGCTCTGTGTCGCAGCAAAGCCTGGGTACAGCGTCCATGAACAGCACAGCATCTGCTGGTATCTCCCATGTCCTACACACATGTGCACACAGACCGTCCCTGCTGGGCTCCCTTCAGACACATACTATTTCAAGTTAGGATGTGCTACATGCTTTCACAATTTGAAGAATAATTCACATCTTCCACTTCAAAAATTCCAGTGACAGGAATTACCAAATAAAACCATGCAGTGTGCTACAAGACAGTATTTTAACCCCGCAGATGAGAGATGTGTCATTTTTAAGTAGACTTTAAAAGAGTCATGGAATAGTAATCTGGAAGATACCTTATAATTCTTTCCCCATCTCCTCTGTTTTAATAGTTGACAGATCCAAGGGGGAAAGCCAGGTGCTAATGTCATAAAGCATCACTGTCACTACTAAACTAAGACCTCAGTCTCCAGCCCTTCACCACCAGGCTTGTCTCTTTCTCAACTAGTGCTATGCAAAGGTATTGTTACTGGAATTTGGGCGTCTGTCTCTTAATGATCACCAAATGATACAGGAGAAATCAGGGTCCCTCTTGGAGTCCTTAGTGTTATGAACTATGCACAGGGAACCCCAAGGGTATCCCGACTGTGCATAGAAACATGCTGGCATGCTGGACAGATGCAGCAGCAGACTAGCAGGCAACCCACTCCATGCAGGGGCAGAGCAGCAGGTGGACATTCACAACCTAGACGCTGCATCTACACAGAAATGGTTTATTATACTAGAGAGACAAAGAAGATAGGAAAGAGAGAAGAGAAAGAGAAACGGGGGTGGGGGGTCAAGGGATGCACACCTCTTGGGAGTAGAGAGAAAAAGAGAGACAGAGAGAGAGAGAGGAAGAGACAGAAAGAGGAGGGGTTTTCCTTTATGTCAGGATGCAGGGTGGCCCCAAGCGGCAAGATTTCAAGGGGCAGGTCAGAATATTAACATTCCTCCGTTTTGATTATTATAAAAAGAGGTGAGTTATGGAAGCAAGTCAGGGAACAAGGGCGCTGAATTCCTGGGACTGCTTCAGGCTGACAAAGGGCGAAGTGGGGAAGGTGGAACTGGGAGTCACTCACGGTGGGAGATCTCAGGAACGTTCCTTCCGGAAGCTGAGGAGGCAGGTTGCAGCAGTGGTGGTCCAGGAGCTTGGGGAAATGGCACAACAAATCCAGAGTATAGAAGTCATGGCATCTGCTGTTTCTCTGGAGGTCAGGCGGGAAAACTGAATCTGCAAAATATGCCCAAAACATAGGTGGGGTCAGAAATGGGCTCTGGAGATTGTTAGTTTTCATCAGACCAGATTTCTTGATGCAGTAGCAAAACTTTTCCCCCAGGATCCTGTAGGTATCTGTAATACAGCTGAAATGGATTTACATCATGGCAAAAGGGTTAAAAATCCACTTAAGGACTCTTAGGAACTCTTGTAGTCAGTGTTCTATCAGATTATCAAAGCTGCATTTATTAGTATTAAAACTTTGAACCTCTGGAGTTATAGCTGAAATCAGTCTATCCTGTACCATGAAGTCTGTGAATGAGGCATACCTGTCTGTAATTGGAGAGCATATATATACTCTTGGGATTGGGGCTGTTAAACTGATACCCTAGTTATCAAACACCATCAAATCTGAGACGGATAAATTTAAGAAGAAATGAGACTGTAGCTAGAGTTTTCCTACCTGGCTCACAGTCAGGACAAATCTCTCTCACCTGCCAGTCCCACAGCCATTCAGACCTGACCAAGTAAACACAGAGACTTATTTTGGTTACAAACTGTATGGCCGTGGCAGGCTTCTTGCTAACTGTTCTTATAGCTTAAATTAATCCATTTCTATAAATCTATACCTTGCCACATGGCTCATGGCTTACCAGCATCTTTATGTGCTGTTTGTCATCATGGCAGCTGGCAGTGTCTCTCTGACTCAGCCTTCCACTTCCCAGCTTTATTCTCCTCCTTGTCCCGCCTACACTTCCTGCCTAGCCAATGACCAATCAGTGTTTTATTTATTGACTAATTAGCAACACATTTGCCATACAGAACATCCCACAGCACTTCCCCCTTTTTTTTTCAAAAAGGAAGGTATTTGGGCGTAGCTTCTCTTACTACTTCCTGCTGGAGGGGGGCGCTGTATCTTATGGGGACACAAAGAAAATTTTAGGATCATGGAGTAGTCCGTGAGGCTGTATCGTCTGAGCCAGTTGCCTTCAAACCATTCTGGATGTTGGATCGTCTGGGCCATGATGTCATCGGAGACCTTTCAGGGGGTCTTGGCTGGTCAAACCTGATGTATCTTAATCTGGAACAAATCCATAGCCTCTGGCTTTCTGTGGGAACAAAAGCAGAGTCTCCTTTCCAAAGCAACATATCCTTATATCCAAATTTTGAAGTCAAGGTATCTTTAAAATATACATATTGGCATAATTTAACAGCTTTTACAATCAAATGTTTTTCTGCAGTTAAAAATCCCAAAGACAACACAATCCAGATTCTCTGTGTAATATTCATCTTTATGTGGCTTATTTTTTATATTAATTTTACTGTCTCTTTAAAGACTTTATTTTTTAAAACTATGTATTTGTTTATATAACTGTATATATCACCTTTTTTGTCTCTTTTAAGCCTACGTATATTTTACACACATTGTAAACTGTTACATCTGAATCTGTCTTATTGTGAATCTATTGCCTTAAACTGCAGCAGCTGTGGCTGCTGGCTCCGCCCACCTCAGCTTCCCAACATGGTGGCGGTATGCTTACCGCCAGCTCTGGGAGCCATCGTGGGTCTATGCTTTTATCCAAGCAGCATGTAGCCCAGAAACCTCTTTTTTTTTTTTTGGTTTTGTACTAGCAAAGGCTAAATCCACCATGCAGCTTAATGTGCCACTTGCAGAGGCCTCATTCCTGCCATACTGCAGGTCTATCGCACACTCTAGGAACCCGCCAGTAGCTCAAACCAGCAGCTGCCGCTCATTTGAGAGACAATTAGGAAGCTGTTTTTAGCTCCCTTTTAGAATCTTTTTTCTCAATTTTTAGGTGGAAACTCGTGCCCCATGTTGGGCGCCATTTGTAGCTAGAGTTTTCCTGCCTGGCCCACAGTCAGGACAAATCTCTCTCACCTGCCAGTCCCACAGCCACTCAGACCTGACCAAGTAAACACAGAGACTTATATTGGTTACAAACTGTATGACCGTGGCAGGCTTCTTGCTAACTGTTCTTATAGCTTAAATTAATCCATTTCTATAAATCTATACCTTGCCACATGGCTCGTGGCTTACCAGCATCTTTATGTGCTGTTTGTCATCATGGCAGCTGGCAGCGTCTCTCTGACTCAGCCTTCCACTTCCCAGCTTTATTCTCCTCCTTGTCCCGCCTACACTTCCTGCCTAGCCAATGACCAATCAGTGTTTTATTTATTGACTAATTAGCAACACATTTGCCATACAGAACATCCCACAGCATGAGACAGCTTTCTAGTTACCTAGGCAGCAATCCCAAATCTCTCCGTGGTTCTTGGGGGGACAGAAGCCCCAGGCATCCCTTGTTCAGCTAATAGGCCCAGAAGATCTGACAGATTTTGATTTTTTCTGTGAGGTAGAAATTTGGGGAGACTGACCCACCTTGACTTTGCAGTATGGGGCAATCGGTCCTCCATTGTTCCACTTTTTCACAGTCTGGACAAGATCTCAGCTTCTCGCTGTGTGGCCAGCCTTGCCATGAGCTTCTGGGTGGAAGTTCTTCTGTGGCCATCCATCTTCTTGGAGGAGATACGGATGCTGCCAGGAACTGACATGCCTCTTTATCATAAAAAGTTTTTATATTAAATGCCATATTCTCAGATCTCTACAGGTGTTTGAGGACTGAGGGAACAAAATTTGTTAGATGTATTTATAACTTTGAGAGCATATATATGACTTAAATCTGAATATATAGGTTTCCCAGTTAGTTACAGCTTAATGAAGTTAGCAAGGACAGGGGGCTAATCTTTGATTGCAGCCAGATTATAATCCTGAATGATTTATATAGAAATAATCATTTATTAAGCTGTCTCCTGAGAAGGCAAAGAAGAGTGACGGGGAAAGATTCCAAGGCCGAATGGGGACAAGAAAAAAGGGGCTTGTGATTTATGTAGAAATAATAATAATTTCTTTTCTTTTTTTTGGGTTTTTTTGTTGTTGGTGGTGGTGGTGGTTTTTTGAGACAGGGTTTCTCTGTGTAGTTTTGGTGCCTGTTCTGGATCTCGCTCTGTAGACCAGGCTGGCCTCAACGCAAAGATCCGCCTGGCTCTGCATCCCAAGTGCTAGGATTAAAGGCGTGCGCCACCGCTGCCCAGCAAAATAATAATTTTTTAAGGTTATATAATACCTCTTTTGTTATGCATGAAGAAGGTCAAGTGTCTTATCTTATTCCAGAACCATTTTAATTAATAAATATCAATTGACAATATTGGATCTAGTTTCCTGGTATGTCAATGGGCATTAGATTGCCAATTTGTCCCCTATGTCAGGGTTTCCATCCTTAACCTAGCCCTCCAGGCTGTCCTGGGAACAGGGAGCACAGGACAACTTGTTCTCCATAGCTGCTTCAAGCTGAAACAGGCACAGGTGTATGTATCAGAATAGTGTTAATGTTAAAATCTTAATATAACAATACCACCTGCATGTGGTTCTGCTGAAGGGGGAGTACTTATGTCTCCAGCCACGCCCACACGAGCGGCCAAGGAGGAACGAATGGGCGTGCCAGGTACACCATCCTATAATTTGAACCAGGAAGTGATTTCCTGGTACCCTTAGTAAAGATGGCAGTGAGGTCATGTGACCTGTCCATTTTGACCTTATTTAAGATGGCGGCTTGACCACGTGATTGCCCTTATTTATGATAGCACCACCTGACCACATGATCGCCCCTATCAAATATGGTGCCTGACCATATGTTCATGTGGTTTGTTTGTTTTTTCAAAATAAACTGAACAGATAAGAAACATATAAAGTGAAGTATTTAGAAGTCAGTCAGAAAGAAATATAGTTGGTCATATCAATCCTACATTTCCATTTGCACACAGGAAATAGACTTTGTGAAAGAAAGATGGAGGAAAGTTTTTTGGGGAAAGTTTTACGGTTAATGTATTGGAGCTCAGTGGCGGTGCTGTGGAGGGGAACGGGAAACAGAGTAGCAGTGCAGCCAGGCAGGAGAGAAGGACCCCCTCCCACGCTGTAGCATGCGCGGCATGGTGATGAGGATGTAGCTGGGATAGGGTAGGCACATTTTCCCACATTTTCCACAGCAGACTGACCTCCAGCGTCCCAGAGGATCAGTGAGGGCCAATGATAACAGCACAAGATAGCCAGTGGACCATCATAACAAGGCTGTGGGCTGTGGAATTGAGTATGCACAGGCCGTCTCCATATGCATAGGGACAGGCCCGAGGATTTTAGAACTCGAAAGACACATAGTACCAGCAAGCGAAACAAATGGAATCCTCACTTGTGGGAAAATGGCCAGAAGGAAAGGGAGGAATCATATTGATCCAGTAAAGTGAAGAGTCTTTGGCAGTGCTCCAGCAGAAAAAATGTTGGGTAGTACAGGGTCCCAGACCTTGTCAGACTGCAGTGGGCAGGAGAAGGCAGTGGGATTGCCTGGCGAAGTTGGGCGCCAATGTTATGAATTATGCACAGGTTAGTGTTAGTTAATATTCTGACCTGCCCCTTGGGGCCACACTGTGTCCTGACGTAAAGGAGAAACCTCCATGGTAGCGGGGCGGCAGGTGAACATTCACAACCCAGATGCTGCGTCCACACAGAAATGGTTTATTATAATAGCGATACGAAGAGAAAATAGGAAAGAGGGAGTGAAGAGAGAGACCTGTGATAACAGGTAAGGATGAAACCAGAGCGGCTATTAAGATAATATTGAAAGTATCCAGAAGAGATTTGGCCATGCCTAAAGAAAGTGTGGTAGCAATAGAGTTGGTGAGAAAGAGTCAGAACTGGGGCTGGGGCAATGCCTCAGTCAGTTAAGTACTTACCTCAGAAGCCTGAGTTTGATCCCCAGGACCCATGTAAAGAACGATAGACATGGTCGCACATGCCTGTAATCCCAGCGCTGGTGAGGTGGAGAGAGAAAGTCCTCGGGCCTTGCTGCCAGCCAGTCCAGCCTGGTTGGTGAGCACCAGGCCAATGAAAGACTGTCGCTAGGAAGATGGACAGTGTTCCTGAGGATGACACCTGTCCTAGGTCAGGTTACTGTTGCTGTGATAAAACTGAAGAAAACAAACAGAAGGGTATATTTGGCTTACACTTCCACAGCACTGTTCATCACCAAACAGGGTAGGAACCTGGAGGCTGGAGCTGGTGGAGAGGACTTGGAGGACTGCTGCTTACTGGTTTGCTCCTCATGGCTTGTTCGACTTACTCTCTTATAGAACCCAGGACCACCAGCCCAGGGACGGCACCACCCACAGTGCTGCCACCCATCAATCACTGATTAAGATAATGGTCTATAGGCTTGTGTACAGCCCCATCTTATGGAAGCATTTTTTTAAATTGAGGTTCCCTCCACCCAGATGATTTTAGCTTGTATCAAATTGACATAAAACTAACCAGCACACCACCTCAGGTTGTACCCTGGCTTTCATATGTGCCCTCAAGTGCTTACCCAGCAACACACATGTCAACACACACACCCACACAAGTAAACACTCACACATGTATTTTTATAGGTCTGGTTTTGTATCTACAGATGTATTTGTAACACTTTTAGTGAAATAGACTTGATATATAATAAATAACTTACTTATACATTTCAGATTTTAAGTAGATACACTCATGAGCCATCACCACAATTAAAGAACTTCCTTTCTGTAACTATTATCCCTTGACAACCAGTGACCGACCTCTCCTCCCAGAGTTTCAAGTACCATAATTTGTTTATTCATTACCTGTTAATATACCTTTGAGTTGTCTAGTTTGGAGCTACTACAAATACCAATATTTGTGTAAGTCATCATATAGATATTTGCATTTGTGTTTATTGAGTAAAATAACTAGAATTGGGTGGCTGGAATTGTTTTCCATACATTTTCTATATCATCTCATATTTATAGGCTTACCTGCATGCCAGAGAGTTGTGTTTCCTGACCAGTACTACATATAGTCAGGCTGTAGTTTCAGCCATTCCAATTCAAGAAGTATCTCGTGTGCTTTGAATTTGTGTATCCTTATCCCTAATGGCTTATGATGTCAAGCATGATTGTGTGTGTGTGTGTGTGTGTGTGTGTGTGTATGTGTGTCTGTGTATGTTTATGATTTCTTTGGTGAAATAAATATCTATTTAAATAATGTTTTACCTTTCTAATACTTGAAAGACTTTTCTTACTTTTTTTTTTTGTTTTTTTTTTTTTGGTTTTTTCGAGACAGGGTTTCTCTGTGTAGCTTTGCGCCTTTTCCTGGAACTCACTTGGTAGCCCAGGCTGGCCTCGAACTCACAGAGATCCGCCTGGCTCTGCCTCCCAAGTGCTGGGATTAAAGGCGTGCGCCACCACCGCCCGGCTAACTTTTCTTACTTTTTTTCTACATTTATTCCTCTATTTTGGGGGGAGGCCTCTGCATACCATGGTATATGTGGAATTCAGAGATTAACTTGAAGGAGTAAGTTACTTCCTTCTCCATGTGGATTCTGGGAATCAAATTCAGCCTGTCAGACTTGACAAGGGTGACTAGCAAGTGTGGTGCCCACTGAGCTCTCTCTCCAGACCTATTAGGACTAGGTTTCAGGAGGGCATCACACCTTCTAAATACGGCCTCTCTTCCTGACTTTCCCGTGGCTGCCTCTTACTATGTTCTCACATGTAAGCACATTCTAGTGTCTCTCCCTTTGAAGACACTGGTCTTGTCCTCACTGGATAAAACCATCGGAACTTACTCACCCTCCTTATCTCCAAATACAGTCCCATTGAGAGCTGGAGCCTGACCGTGAGTTATGTACATGCAGCTTTGCGCACACACTGTCATTCCTGCTAACGACTCGATTTCTAAATTCCTCTATCTTTTTAAAGCTGATTAGGATATTCCCACCTTCCTTCCGTACAGTACATACTTAGAGAAAAGACTAGTCTCCTGGTTCCTCAGTGTCTCTCTTTTCATTTTGTACATTCTTTTTTCTAACATAATCTGTGCTGCAGCAAACCATGGTGCATGTTTTGCTACTACCATTGAGTTCTTCATGGCCTGCTGCAGTTTGGTGTGTTAAACTCATATAGGAACATCTTCCACTCCTTCCTTTCTCACTAAGACATATCCTGCAAAAGTATAGGTTTGTTTTTCCATCTACGTTGATAATATTTTCCAGTTTTCCCGAGGCATCTCCATTTTCTTCAGAAACAGAGTTTGTTTCATTCTCGTCCCTTCGTGGCTGAGATAGAACACTGTCTGTCATACTCCTTTGGATAGTCCCTCTTGTGGTTCCCGCAGTGGTTTTTCCCAGGTTCCCCACTTATCATCCCTGTCCATCCCTCAGTCCCTTCCCTGGATCCAGCCTTATCTAACTGGCTCCTCGTTGTTTACAATCTCTCCTTCCTGTAGGACTGAGAAGGGCAAAGAGCACAACCGGGAGGACCGAGGACACAAAGCAGATCTGCAGGCGAAGAAAAGCGAGCCAACGGCCCGAAAAGTCACCCTGATAGAGGTAAGGGACAATCAGCAGAGAGTCAGAAGTGAGAGACAGCAGGAGAAGTCAGGGGAGAGAAAACAGGAGAAGTTAGACGTGAGAGAAAATCGGAAGAAAGTTCCTTCGTGAGCAGAAAAGGACTTGAGTCATCCTGGTCAGCAGTGACAGAGGCCAGAGAAGAGCACAGCTGTTGGTGTGAGCACTGACGGGCGTCCGTCGGGAATGGCGGCCGAGAGCCTGTTAGTGCCTGGGAGGAAGTGCTGATGAAGTCGAGAAACATAGCTTAGACTGTCTTCAGCCTGAAAGGAAAAGATGACCAGAGTAGTCTTTCTTTCTCTCCCAAATTCTGGGCTGTAAACAGAGAAATCAGTTGTTTAGCAATTGATAGAAAACTCAGGCTGTGGAGGTCTCCATACAGGAGATGACAAGCATCTCTGCAAACCAAGAGGTGAGAGCCCTTCCAGGCGTGGGAGGGGGCTGGGGTCCTGAGGAGACAAGCCCGACTTATGCTTTAAACTAGACAGCTGGACCACGTTTACCTCTGAGAAAGGCCCTTGGGAAGATGGTAGCGGGTGGGTAAGCATAAGAAATGGGAGGAAGCCTGTCAGGGGGTTTATTTTCTCCGTAGGCAGAAGTAGTTTGTCTGTGGAAATAAAAATGTTTCGGTGTTACAGCCCTAACTACACCCACAAGCTTACATTTGTTGCCTTCTAGAATTAGATTCAGAGTTAGCATAACTTTTTTCATTTGAAAAAAATAAGTAAGTCTACTTGTACAGAAAACCTAGATTGAATAATTCATTAACCCTGGGAACGGCTTTTATATAAGCATGATGTGGGAATTAGGAACCATTTTTGGTTTTGCTCGGGGATTTTTCTTTGGTTGTTTTTGTTGTTGTGGTGGTGGTGGTGGTGTTTTGTGTTGTAGGGAAAGGACATTTCTGTTTCCTAGACTGGCCTCAGACTCTTGGGCTCAAGCTATTCTTCTGCCTTAGCTTCTAAGAACCTGAGAGTAGAGCCACCTGCCCTGTGTCCAACTAGGAATCATTTTGAAACAGATGTTTGGATTTATGTGATGGGAACTTCAAGATCACACATGTCAGCATTGAAAAAAGTGGTGCCCACTGCTGTTTTTGCAGAGGACCCAGGTCCAGGTCCCAGCACCCGCACGGTAACTTGTAACTGTCTGTAGCTCCAGTTCCAGGTTTTCCTATGCCCTGTTCTTATCCTCCTCGGGTACTACATGATGTACCTACATACATACATACATATATACATACATATATACATACATACATACATACATACATACATACATACATATATACATACATACATGCATGCATACAGGCAAAACACTCATACCCATAAAATAAAAATAAATCTATTTTAGAAAATGGAAATATGGGCCAGTAAAGTTTCTCAATAATAGCTGGGCTGGGGAAGAATTTTACCTAAATGATTTGTACCTGCTACATATAGAAAGCTCCAAGAAATCATCAAAAAAAGAAATATATCACTAAGAAAACTGGTGAAGGACATAGGGAATGTTAGTAAAACAACAAATGTATTCAGTAATAAAAATGATGAGTGTTTACTTTAGTAGTGATCAGATTCATGAATTGAAAAGTAAAACAACTGAATCAGGTAATATTTTCATCACAAAATGACAGCCAGTCTCAAAATTTAGGAATATAATTTTTATGACAATAGAAGGAGGTAGGTTAACCTCTTAAATGTATGTCCCTGTGTACAATCCATTCATTCTTTATGGATGAGAGTTTGGTAGGAAGCTTGTTTTGATTTCCATAACAGGGAACCTGTGAGAGTGTATGGTTCGTAAAATTCTTATGTAGCCAGATGTGACAGTTTGTCTGTCGTCCCAGAGACTGGTGTTCTAAGGTGGAAGATTCACTTGAGCCATTCTGGACAAATGAGTGAAACCACTTCTCAAAATACTAATGTCCTTTGACTTGACAGTAGGAAAGGTTTTGAAGACAGTGGAGAGATTCAGCAAAAAGACCATGCCTTCAAGTAGATGCTTAAAAAATTCAACTCAGTCTTTATGAGCAAAGCGTTGGTTAAAATATCTCTGGCTCCGTTTGCTGGCGCAGTCGATTTGGCTGTCAGTGGGGAGGCTGGTGGTTTGAGCCCACCTGGGGACGGGGACAATAGGAGATAACATTCAGAGTTGTTCCAGGAGACTCTGCTCTTCTAAAGGGAATTTGATCAATTGTGAAATGCTTGTATTATAGATTGTCAGGTTCTCATTATTCATAGGACAAAATTGTGAGTGGAAGGAAGTGATTGATAAATTTAGAACACAGCTGTAAATAGTTGACGTGTGTGTTGATAACAAATGTTATCTAAGTGTTGTGCTGGTTGTTTTCATTTTTATCCATGTGTTTTCTGATTTTTTTCTACTCAACATTTTCATACTCCTTTAACATTCCTTCCAAAATGAACAGAATTCCAGAAATTTCTAATACGATCTCTCCTTTCTACACAAGGACCCAAGGCCCACGGTCTCGTAATAGAACTCCTTAAGTGGGGTGTGTTTTTCTGCCTCCACGTTGAGGGCTGTTTGCAGTGCAGGTTCTCTGCCTCCGGGGCATTTTTGCTCCCCACCACTTAGCATGGGTCTCAGCACAGAGGCAAACCTGTGAAGTGTGTATCAGGTTCAGTTTCTTAATGACATGAGGCCCAGCCTGCTGCTGGATCTCACTGTTTTACACAAACGTTAGCCCAGTTTCATATTCATTTTCATAATCTTGCTGTACAGATTTTCCTTTCTCTTTTTGTCTGAAGTGGCTCTTTCAAGCCTTCAGTTTGCCTCTCTCTTCCTGTGTTAGCTGTAGGCATACTCTATGAAGATGCCTCAGAGGAGTGGGCTCAGACTCAGGCTTGTGTTCTTAGATGGGATGGGATGGGACCTCTTCCCTGCGTTCAGCAAAGCTGGACCGTGTCTCAGCTTTGCCGTCCCTGGTCTGTCTGTCAGCAGCCGAGTGTCCCGCTGTCCTCTGAGCAGCCGGTGGTGCACACCTGACTGTTCTTCTGTCCCTTCCTCCTGACCCTGTCTCCTGCGCACGGGCACGCGGTCTGCACCTCTTGCCCTGTTCCTTCCTCCTGATGCTCTGAATCACTTCCCTTAAAGACATTCTTCGCCACTGCTTCAGTTTTTTCTAGACTTCTCTCAGGGTTCCCTCTCTGGGGTCTGTTTACTTCTCACAGTGCTCTCTCCCTGACTCCGCCAGCTTGCCCTACATCTTCTGCACCTGCAGAAGCCATCTCGCTGATTCCCAGCTGTGTGTCCCCTTATCACCGCCCCTTCTGTCTTTCTTATGTCCTGCTGTCTCCATGAACGCTCCCCTGGGTTGTTCTGTTGTCTTAGTCCTCTGAGACCATTCTTCTCCTCGCTGTGCTTCGCAGGGTGGGGTCTCTGTGTGACTTGGACCCTGCCTTTCTTTGAACCTCTGCTCTGCTCTTCCCCATCTTTATCAGCCTCTAATTGGAGGACAGTTTTCCGTTCTCCCCTTGATGACATGTGGTAAGAGAAATGACTTCTCTGACTCTTCCTGTTACTGTTGATCCTGGCATGTTGCAGCTGTTCCATTTCACACTTAACTTCAGTGTTTTCGTGAGCTGCACTTGCCTCTTCCTGAGCTTCTACATGCAACAGGAGTTTATCTGTGTAATTACATTTAACAAATTGAAAATCAGGAAACCTGAGCCAATTACAGAATTTTTCCAAACCTTGTATGTAAATTTTTCTTATTTGGAAAAAAAAAAATAACGTAACCTTGTGTTTTGAACACAAACCCAAGTGTTTGCCTTCCTCCTGGGCTCCCAGGAGAACCAGTAGGGAGTCGCTAGCCTCTGCCCTGGCCTGCCACAGTGTGTCAGTCATCACTTTTCTCAGAGGTGATCCACAGAGTTGCCCTAACCTATTGCCATTGTTCCAAGGCTACAGCTTGTTTCTAAGACAATCCAGTGTTTCAGCCTCTTGAGTTAGCGGGAAGTCAGACGTGTTTAAGTCCAGAGATGTGGCATTGCCCCATGAGTCGTGAGTGACACAGAGCAGTCCAGGATGAGCCCCATGGTTCATCACACACGAGCTGTCGATACCCACTGTGGTCTCTAAGAAAGCAACATCTGTATGTCGGCTCTTGATTTTCAGTAATAATTTAATTTGTTTTATCCCCAAATTGTATCTAGACCCATGGTTAGCTTAGCAATCACTCTCATGGTCAATGAAAGATGAAATGCACATTGTCTCATTTGGTTCATGGAGTTTGGAAACTATAATTAGCCTAGTTTGAAAATTAGACACACTAGGGGAGTAAATGAGAGACTCCTGATGAAGATGGTCTGTCTCTTTCTAATCATCAAACTGAGATGTCCCCCACAAGAATCTTTCCCCATGAAAGGAAGAACTTTACCCGCACAGACTGCCTACTCCCAGCACCCTGCGAGATCTCTTCAGAGCTGTCACACTGCTCTTGAGACAGTTTTCTCTTTTGCTCTTGTTAGCTCGTCAATGCGGGAACAGTCAACACAGTTGCTGACGGTACAGAGAGGGGAACAGCACCCTTGAGGGGCAAACTCTAAGAAAGCTGAATTAATGTGGAACTTGGGTTCAGCATGGGGGCTGTTGGCGGGTTTCTTACTTGCAATGCTGCACAGGTTATAACCAGAAGACTCTGTTCCTATCTTTGTGTACTTTTCTCCCTAGTAAAAAGTCAGAAAAGAACCAAGAAGCAACCCGATGAGCAGAAATGAAACGAAAAGCCAAGCCAAATGGGTTTCTCTTTAGATTCTGGAAGAAAAGAAGTATCCACTATTTATTGACCAACCTTATGAGAAACCTGAAGTGAAGTTTGGCTGTTTAAAAAAAAAAATCAATGTGGCCCTCTGGGCATAATTGTTATAAACCATTGTGAGTGTTATTGGTCAAAGTATTGTATCTGTGCTATTAGTAACTGCATAAAAATGATACTGCTGCTATTGGAAAAACCAATAAAGAAACCGCAGAACTGCTACTCAGCAAACGTGAATACAAGTGTGCGCGTTATTCACCTGTTCCCTAAGTCGTCATCCAGTGTTACTGTGTCTGTGACGTGGCTGTAGGTGTGATGCCCTGCTCAGAATGCAGAACATCTGCTTCGAAGCTAACTGTGTGTAAAAGACAAGCAGCTTCTGAATATCGTGTATTCACACTGCCCCAGTAACAAAGGCAGTCAGAGAAACAATTTGCTTCTAAGAACTAAATGTTTACTTTGCTTTTGAGTGAATTATGTGTGTAACTCAACACACCTAAACTAAGAGTGATTTTGGATTTAGTGATTTAGTATACCAAATTTATTTCCGTTTTTAAAGGCAGTTCATATTTAAGCATATAAGTAATTTACAGATCTAAATTGTTTACTATTTATTTTAGTCTGAATATTTATTTTTAAATTATTACACAGCATTATTTATGTCTTTATTTCCAGAATAACAATGCCATACCATATATGGCCATATGATTTGAAGTTGGATGTAACAGGGAAATTCATCCTTTTTTGTTTTTCCTTGACTCTTCCTTGTCTTCAACCATGTGATAAGTCTGTCAGTAGAACAGTTAACCTCAACAAGGTCAAAGTCTGTGGTAAAGTTAGAAAAACTTATTTACCAAAGTCGACAATTGATTCCATTGAAATAAGAAGTGAGAAAAACTGTGTTGAGCACTGAGGTGTAAACTTGTCCAGATGTACCGGAGTGAAACAGCTCCAGTACAAATAGATGGGGCTCTCTCCCTGCACATGTTGTTGTAGAAGCTTAGAAGTGGTAAACACGAGCCTGCTGTGGAACCTCTGTAGTGTTGTTGTCATTAAAAGGAGTTTTCCAAAGCATGGAGTGGCACTGAAAACTGCTGAAGCCCACAGCGCTCAGCACCCAGGCTCCTCTGCCAGTGCCAGGCTGGCATTGTTCTGGCTTTGTGTGTCCGTGCTCTGGGTGCATTCGGGCCAGGCAGCTGAGTCACTCTGTATGTACATGCTTTGCTTTCTGTCTTGTGAGTGTGATGCTTAAAACAGTAAAAAATAAATAAAGATATGTGTCCCTACTATTTCAGCTCGTGGGTTTTTTTTTAATTTTCCTCATTTCTGAATGTGTGCCGTGTGTGTGTGTGTGTGTGTGTGTGTGTGTGTGTGTGTGTGTGTGTGTTCATTCGTGTGGGGGTGCATATGTGTAGGCATGCAGGTGTACATTTGTGCCTGAGTATCGAGGCCCTGTGTTGATGTCAGGAATCTTCCTCGATCTTTCTTCTACCTTCTCTTCGAGGCATGGTCTCTCGGTAAACCCAGCTCACCAATAAGGATCCCCCATCTCCGTCCCTGAGACTGTAATTCCAGGTAACCCTTTTTGGTCATCCAGCATTCATATGGGTCAGCTCATGATTTTGAGATGCATGTCAGTTCTCTGAGTTGGGCCTTAAATTCAGCAGAAAGCATTTCAACAAGTTGTAGCAATACTTCAGGTCAAGACTAATGAAAAGACATATTGGAGGAGCTGAGCATTTGCTCAGATCTTTGTGTTCACATGAAAAGTTGAAGGATTATTTGATACTGCACCTACTGAAGACAACAGGAACACATGAGTCCTGTGCCAGGAAACATTGCCTCTACTCGGAGCCCAGTCCTTCCGTCGGCTGCCTGGTTGCCATTGTAGGTCTAAGGTTACATTCATGAAGATACTGAGTAGTGTCTTCAGCAGACCCTCTAAGAACTGGGGATGCACTCTAACAGGGCCCTCAGGTAATAGGTTCTGATTATACTGCTTCATGAACTAAGACACCACAGCCACTTGATTTCTAGCACCTTTTTTTTTTTTTAGTAATCATTTGTTTTTTATTGTAACTACGAAATTATTGGATGTTAGCATACTGCTTGTTCAGGAAACAGTTTGGCACAATCTTTGTATCACAGTATCTGCAGTATCAAAACTATACTGTGAATAAGATTTGCAAAACCTTAATAACACAATAAAAACTCAAGATAGGTTTCTCATGGGTGTGTGAGAGGCACATGTGTATGCATGCTTTCACGTGTGGCGGTGTGCCTGTACACAGGCTGGCACACCCACCCAGGGACATTTACGTGGGTGCTGGGAATCCAGACTCACTCCATGTTTGCATGGCAAGTGTGTATCCACCAAGCCATCTCCCCAGCCACCTAAAAAATCAAGTTTTTAAAAGATTTTTATCATGGAATCTTCACAACAAAAAATGCAAACTTTGGGCATAAAATGGATGTTTTAACTGAAATTAATATTTTAAAGGGCTAGCACTTGCTACATATAAAATTCTGTGTATGGTTTATGGCCCATAAAAGCATGTTCTTGACTCTAATTTTATGTATAACTTATTGTAAAATTTGGTTCTTCATGACATTTTCTCATTAGGAATTTCAACACACTGGATCTGGAACTCACCATGCTATAGCTTAGTCTGACATGTTGCTTTTGTCCTGCATCAAGTATTTTTAAGATGGTAAGAACAATATAAAAATAACAAAAAAATTAGTAATGATATCCTTCTATGTTTTCAGTTAATTTCCATCTGAGGTCCCTATGTGTTGATTAAATAGTGGAAACATTTTTAAATCAACATTATGGTATCAGTTTTTACCCAGTTAAACTTACCTACAGGAAATATTTCCCAGATCTCCATTTTTTTTATTACACATAATCTCCATTTCTCTTTCCATCAGATCTTCGAGGTACACAAAACTTCTGTACTCTGCAAATAAGCAACACAAGGCTCTGAAAGTTGCCCATGTGTGCAGAGCCTGTAAATGCCCATGCTAGCTATAAATGGAAGGGGTAGACTCCGTGGCAGGTCCTTAAGTGCTGGACAGGACAAACCGAGTCAGCATTTAAAGTTGGAGCCACCTGCACATGTGGGAGTGACTAAAACCACATTCCACCCCAGGTCTAGAAATGTGTGCATACCTAAGGGAAAATCGTTTCTAAAACTGGTCATTTGTGTGTCCTGTAATCATTCTTAGTAACTCCTTACCGTACCATAGTTCTTACATCTCCTGAGGAACTAGGTTCTGTAGAACCAAACTAATTGCGTGGACAGTAGCATTTTATTCATGAAACAGAAGAGGCGCCTTTTCAGTCATATAGAACATAATAAAAAATCAAGGAGACTGTCAATCACAAGGTTGTGTTGACTGAAGAGCTCAGTCTATGGATGGATCCAATTATCCGCAGGAGAATTGAGTGTGTCAGCATCACTTAGGGTTAACAATGGGCTAAGGAGGCCAAGGCAGACAGCTCCTCTCTGCAGAGACCCAGGAAGTAAAGTTGGTAATGAGGCACTTCATTCATCGGCTCCTTCTGCTCTAATTATTAAGCTGAATAGGGAATGCTTTAAGGCGGGAACTGGATAACATAAAAAAAATTGTTTTGTAAACGCAAAGGATGCCATCTTTGGATCCCCCTCACATCTAAGGGTAGGCTGTGAGCACCTCCCTTTTCTAATCTTGTTCTTTAATACCTCAAAGTTCACATTGTTTTTGCATGGGTTAGTTTTGCCTTAAAAAGTTGAGGTGGTTGCTAACAACAACCTACAATTTTATTTCTCCATTCTAAAAAGGGAGGCATATATGTCATAGTTCATAATTCCTTTTCCAATTCTCATTGCTTAAGTCAAAATGCCTTAACTGCTGGCATACATCAGTGTCGACTCTCACAATACTGAACGAGATAGTGTTAGTGTACTCTAACTCATTTCCTAATTCATCATTTAATTTTTCTCCAGAATGGAGAGAGCATATAATACACGAAAATTTAGGAGCGATGTTCTTAAAGACTTAAACTCACAACTGCCAATCAAAGGATGACTCTTAGATGTTCTTGGCATGGAGGTGGTTTGCTTAATGAACATAAGAGTGGGAAGGGTAAACAGCAAGACATCTAGGAAGATAACTTGTTGAAAGAGCAAAAAAAAAAAAAAAAACTGAAGCTTAAAAAAAAAAGTGAAGGAAGAAGGGTTCCCTGGAGAAAAGTTTGGTAGATTCAGTTCAGTTTTTGGTGTTTTTAGCAGAGAATCAGTTGGCTTTTTTGTGAGCTAAATTTGTTCACAGGGATGTGAACAGATATAAATGTCTCACATAATTTTTCTGAAGTAGTAGTCAGTGTAAGGTGGCTAGGCAGCCATGCTTTTAACCAGCCCTGAGTGGTGCGCAGAAGTTAACGTTCAGAGGTCTCGGCCGATCCTCCTTTCAATAAGGAAGTGCCTCCATGGTGGTAAAGGAATGTCAGTCAAATCTCACACTTTAAGAACAATTCTTACCATACTTATCATGTGTGCAGGCAGACTACATAATAAACTAGTCTATAGCAGCTGTAAATTTCTGAGGATTTATCTAACCACAAATACATTGAAATGGGGAAATGGGTCTATATTAAACCATGCAAGATGCTGCTGGAGCCTTGCCATTTCTGCAACATCCTGTAATTAATTTATCATGACAGCTCTGGCAAACTGAAACATTCACTGAGCTTGCAACAGACTGTTAGACTACAGTGGTTGCTGACCCACAAGCATGCCAAGGGAAGGTAGTTTTTCTTCCCAAACATGACTCTTCGGGGTGCCCTGTCCCCAGGAGCAATTTGTCCTCCTTCAATCCCGAAACTTTCCTGAATGTAGAAATGATCCGGGCTCAAGGAGTGAACCTGGTTTGCCCTCCGCTGTGCATGTCATTTTCCTGAGTCACCTAGCAGGGGGACGATACAGCCCGCTCAGCCCTCCCCACAGGATGTGTTTGGCACTAGACATAATGGGATTGTCTTATGGGAGATTTGAATCAGTTTTGGAAGCCTCTTAGAAAACTCCTTTTCATATGAATGAGGCTCACATAAAACCGCCTCTATTTGTGTAACATCCTCTTCTGAAATGTGAAAAGCACGGAGAAATATAATTCTGTTATTGTGAAAGTGGATCCTAACAATGAGATCCTTGCCATTTCCTGCTGGGATTATGGAATGATCGCTGCCTGCGTGGCTACCGGTGCTGTCGCGATTGATGTGAAGAATGAGTCCAAGGGCCGAGGTGCCTCAGTATAAAGTGCTTGCTGCACAAACATGAATGTAGATCCCCAGCACCCGCCTAAGAGCCATGACAGGTGGCACCCACCCATCGGCAATCCAGTGCAGGGAAGCAGAGACAGGTGGAGTCCAGGGCTGGCTAGCTAATGTAGCCGAAATGATTAGCTCCAGGTACAGTGAGATAGCACGTCTCAAAATATAAGGTGGATGATTGAGGGAGATCTCAAATGCTGGACTCTGCAACTGCTAAATACATTGCTAATTTAGGGCACTCTGCCTGGGGATGGAGTTCATCAATGGAGCGCTTGTTTGGCATACACAAAGCCTAGGGTTCAGTCCCCAGTGCTGAAAACATAAACAAAAAAATAAATGTAGAACCTTTAATGATTTTCACATATCTATCTGCTTTTAGATATGCATACATACTTGTGTGCAATTCTGCATTTTTTTATTCAACAACTGATTCCTGGATGCTAGGTGCAGTTGAGCCAGGAGATTGATCTTGAAATGCCCATGTGTTCACTGCCATTGCCGCCACAGAGTGGTTTTTAGAGAACTTTCCCCTACATTACCAAACTTGAACCCCTTAACAGTCTTCACCCCCCGATGTTTTCAAGCCAGTCATAGGTTTTGTGACTTACTCAACAACTACTAACCAGAATGGGGGCCTCCCCACACGCTGCATTTTTTTTTCCAAACAGGAAAACTCTTTACCGACATCTGAAAAATATGGAAGTAAATTATCAGAAGAGCCGATCGGTGTCCCCCGTTTAAAGGGCAGCAAGACACACTTACACGTGTGTCCTTTAGAGTCAATTGGTAGCCCCTTCAGCTCATCAGTTATGAAAAGGTGTTTGTGGCCTTACTGAAGTCTTTAAGCCAAATATATTTTAGCATACAAGAACTTAAAATATGGTATTGTAACAGAGTTCAAATAAGGGCATTGATAAATGTTTTTTATGTTTTCTAGACAAAGGAGGAAGGAGGTACATAGAAAATTCAAGTCCCTTT